CGAGGTGTTGGTATAAGAGATTTGATTCTTTCATTATGTGCCTTGGATACAACAGACTTAATGCAGACCCTTGTGCTTATTTCAAGAGGTCTGGTGATAACGATTTTGTTATTTTGCTGTTGTATATGGATGACATGTTGGTTGCAGGACCCCCAACAAAGATCATATTAAAGAATTGAAGGCACAACTGGCTAGGGAATTTGAAATGAAGGACTTGGGATCAGCAAACAAGATTCTAGGGATGCAAATTCACCGAGACAGAAGTAATAGGAAGATTTGGCTTTCACAAAAGAATTACTTGAAGAAGATCTTGTCACGATTCAACATGCAAGATTGTAAGCCAATTTCTACCCATCTTCCTATTAACTTCAAATTATCCTCCAGTATGAGTCCTAGCAGTGAAGAAGAGATGATGGAGATATCTCGAGTACCGTATGCATCAGCAGTGGGAAGTTTAATGTTCGCTATGATATGCACAAGACCAGACATTGCACAAGCAGTGGGAGTGGTTAGTCGATACATGGCGAATCCAGGCAAAGAGCATTGGAATATTGTAAAGAGGATCCTCAGATACATCAAAGGGACCTCAAATATTGCATTATGTTACAGATGATCAAACTTAATAATCAATGGTTATGTAGATTCTGACTATGCAGGGGATTTGGATAAAAGCAAATCTACTACAGGATATGTGTTCAAAATTGTTGGTGGAGCTGTAAGTTGGGTTTCAAAATTACAGTCATTTGTGGCTAAGTCCACAACAGAGGCAGAATATGCAACAACTACACAAGCCAGTAAAGAAGCAATTTGGTTGAAGATGCTATTGGAGGAGCTTGGGCACAATCAAGAGTATGTCTCTCTGTTTTGTGACAGTCAAAGCCCCCTTGCATCTAGCAAGGAATCCAGCATTTCATTCAAGGACAAAGCACATACGAGTTCAGTACCATTTCATTCGTGAAAAGGTTGAAGAAGGAACGGTAGATATGCAGAAGATCCATACCAAAGACAACATAGCAGATTTCATGACGAAGGCAATCAATGCTGATAAATTTACCTGGTGTCGATCCTCCTGTGGCCTGTCAGAAACGCAAGCAACATGAAGGTACAAGGTAGAAAGAATGGTGTGAAGATATGATTATTCCAATCAAATCTTCAAGTGGGAGATTGTTAAAAGTCAAATAATTTAGGCACCAAATTAGGCACCAAATGGTGCTTTGTCAAAGTCAAAAATTAGGCACCTAATTTTTGTTGAAATTGGGTAATGGGATAATTAATTTTAGTCATTGTAATTTAGGGTATTTATAAGATTAGTCCTTAAGTTTCAACTATAAATACCCTAGCTCATTTAGCTTTAAAATCATCCCAAAGCATTCTAGCTTTATTCCAATACTAGAGAGAATTTAGAGAGTTTCTTGAGAGTTGTTTTCTCCTTTTTATCGAGAGAGAATTATCATTGTTTTCTCCTTGGTAGATCGAGAGAGGTTGTAATTCCTATTTTCTCATAGTGAAATTCTTCTACCGTTGCCCGTGGTTTTTACCCTATTTTATTTAGGGGTTTTCCACGTAAATTTTGTGTCTCTTTTTATCTTCATTTTTATTTTCTCAAATTATCAGTTGCGATTTTGCTCTATCGATAGCCGTCTTCCGCAACAGTTTAAACCAGGAAAAAGATTTCCTTCAAAGCTTAGACCAATAATGAATTCTCAATGAAACCAAATTTTTCTTTTTGACTAGGAAAAATCGAACCTCAACAAGGCCTTTCTCACTAAACCAGCAAAGAACTTTTAGAGTTTTATAGAAATGGGTTTCAGTATTTATACACACACATATATATGGTTCCTAGCATGAAAAAAAGGTTTTGAAGTGTCTATTTTAACTTTTTCTGGTTCCTTCCGCCAACAAACTAAAATAAACAATCACACAAAATAAAATAAAAAAAGGTGTTTATGGGATTTATATATATATATATATATATATATATATATATATATATATACTCTGGGACAAAAGGGTGGATATCAGTCACATCACTAAACAGTGACGGATCTAGAAATTAAAAAATGAGGGTCCAAAATTTTAATACTCTATTTTAAAAAATTTTGGGTATGCAAATTTTCTTATTTTTTTCTATTCCTATTAATAAATTAAACTAAATTTAATTTTTTTCAAAATAATGGGTGAACAATGGCTCTCCTAGGAAACCATGTACATCCGCCCTGTCACTAAAGCGTAGGATAAGCAGGTGTCGCGTAGGATAAGATGAGCATCTTCAGGCAAATTTGCACTGTTCAAAATCTATTCCGCCTTTTCCTTCAAGTACACAAATGCTATGACTTGTATATTAAATTAAATTAATTAAATTAAATTATAATTTTAAAATAATATTTTACAAACCATAAAATTTTGATAAATGGTTTCTACTTCTCATTATTTATTCTCTCACCCTCCTATAACTTATAACAAAATTTAATTATCAATTATTTATATTTTTGTGATCATAACAAATATAATAGAACAAAAATGTTTAATTTGACTAAAAAAATTGATTTTTTTCGAAAGTTAGTATGGCTCATGAGCTTTGATGTGGATCCTTTGGATTAATGTCCTATTGAGGGGATTTGGTAATTGATTTAGAATGGGTCTTTTGTTAGTTGGAGAATTGATGTTAAAAATTTGTCATGGAAATTTAATGATGGAGTTGTCATTTTCATTAAAATCACACCAATTTGACTAAAATAAATAAGACCCAAGGCCAAATTTATCTAAAGAAAAGAATAAGGACCCTTATTGAGAAAAAAGTGTAAATATTGAGGGCTCAAATTGCCATTATGCCTACATAAAAGAAACAAATTCAACTACGTTCTCAGCTTTTAAGTTGGCTCAAAGGGCATGGCATTAGTTCAATTCAACTCGGTCCTTCAAGCATGTCGAATTTGTATCTAGTCCCAACGCAAAGTATATCAGCTTGGTCTGGATCAGCATGCTACAATCCTCGATTCATTGGCCGGGATGACATTGTATTAGAAGTTTATACTTCCACGGTATAGCAATGAGCATTTCAGCTTGGTTTCCGATATCAATCTACGAATCAACAACCGCGTTGGCCACCCGGTGGCCGAATCCAAGACTTTACTTGGATTCAAGCATTGGGAATCCTATTCTCTCACCCCACCAAAAGCAACTAGTAGTTATTATCTTATTTTACCTTTGAGGTTTAGTTACGCCGTGCCACATGGGCTGATCTTTGACCAAAAACTTGATTTAAGGTCACTTAACAGTGAATTCATCCTAGAGCATTGTTAGCAGCCAAATTTTAAATCACAAATACGAATTCCGAAGCATTGACCAATTGGCCACTCCTGCAAATACTCCAATGAGGCCATGTTCTTCTAAATTCTTGAATAAGTAAAGATTGTCAGAAGAGATTATAAGTCACTTGAAGTTGGTTTTTAAGGATACCTGGAGCATAAGCGTCATTTAACAGAAAATGAAGATCTTAGCCAATACTTCCTCATTGATTGTTTTGCTGTTCCTCATATCAGCCCTGGTGCAGATTCATGCGGCTGCAGAACGTAAGAGTTGTTTTTTGCGTCACAGTCCTTGCTTTCTCAAGATCATGAAATGCCTCCTCAATGCCCGTCGTCGAATCCATCACATCCCAAGGCCAAAGTTTGCTATGTTAATTGTGATTCCCCCATATGCAAAGCCGAATGCAAAAGTAAGAAACAGATCCACTCTAATCATTTCATGAACTTATTTTGTATGTTTGTTATAATGTCTGGTTTTTGGTGGTTATAGATAAAAAGCCGAACTGCAATGCCCCCGGTGCAGCATGCTTCGACCCCAGATTCATCGGTGGTGATGGCATCGTGTTTTATTTCCATGGGAAGAGCAATGAGCATTTCAGCTTGGTATCGGATCCCAATCTCCAAATCAATGCCAGGTTCATTGGCCTTAGGCCAGCAGGTCGAAGCCGGGACTATACTTGGATTCAAGCAATTGGTCTCCTCTTCGGCTCTGAAACCTTCTCTCTTGAGGCCAAACATGCAGCAACTTGGAATGAGGAATTTGACCATCTCAAGTTCTCATACAATGGTAATGATATTGTTCTACCAGAAGGACATCTATCGTCGTGGCAATCCCCGGAAAGTGACCTTACAGTAGAGAGAACATCTGACAGAAATAGTGTCTTAGTGACTTTACCTGATGTTGCTGAGATTTCAGTCAATGTGGTGCCCGTGACCAGGGAAGATGATCTGATCCATAACTACCAAATACCCTCCAACAACTGTTTTGCTCACTTGGAGCTGCAATTCAAATTCTACGGTTTATCTTCTAAAGTTGAAGGAGTACTTGGCAGGACTTATCAGCCAGATTTTGTGAACCCTGCAAAGCCAGGGATCGCAATGCCAGTAATCGGAGGGGAAGACAAATACCGAACCTCTTCACTCCTTGCTGCAAATTGTTATTCCTGTATATTCTCTACAGCCATAGCATCGGACCAAAGAGATTCATCGCTGATGGACTTTGGCACTCTAGACTGCACCAGTGGAGCCTCAAGTGGGAGTGGAATAGTTTGTAGGAGATAAATCATGGTCTGTAAAATGCTCAAAAAACAACTAAATTCTTGTCCTTAAGAAATAACAATGGCAAGTTGCCTTGCAGTTTAATGGTAATGTTTCATTTTGCATTCCTCTGAAAATGATCAAATTCAAGTGTTGCAGTTCATCAAACAAAGTTAACTCATGCAACGAACAAACGACAAATAAGATATTCATTATCAGGTAACCATGTAATCATAACCTGAATTAAATCAACAATAATGGAATATTATGGTACATTACATACGAGTTTCGGGTTGATTAGTTGGTAGCCACCACTCAACTATATTACAAACTAAATTTATCATGGACGAAAATTTCAGGAAGAAAAAACAGAATAACTGTAAGAAAAAGAAAAAAAAACTTCGTTCAATCTCTTTGGATATTTCCAAGTATTTGTTTTTAGCAGGATGTCCATCGGCTAAGATCACCGAGCAGGACTGATTGTCATCTATCTCCCACGAGGATTTACGAGTTGTGAAAATACTGCACTGGTGGCAGCATCTTCAGCATCATCATCAGTGCCGGAATTACCATCAAGCATGCTTACACTGTTATCGAATGGCTCAAGTGGTGTCAACTGAATGGCAGGGATATGGTTCGTACTGTTATCATCGGGTTCCATCAGTGCTGATGAAGTCTCCTCCAGCTGAAGAGCATATTCGAGGTTCCATAATACATCTCCCATTGATGGCCTGTCAACGCCATACTCGGCTAGGCACTTTTCTGCTGTCTCTCCGTACTTCTTGAGAGAAGCTGGATTAACTTTCCCTGACAGGTTAGAGTCCATGATTTGATCCAACATGCCTTTCTTCTTCCAAGTCATTGCCCATTCCGCGATATTAACTTGTTCTCTTGGGAGAACAGGATTTAAAGCAGGCCTAGTGCAGAGAACTTCCATCAAAACCACTCCAAATGAATACACATCGGACTTTTCCGTTAGCTGCTGCCTTCGGAAATATTCCGGATCAAGGTAACCAAAGCTACCCTTAACAGCAGTACTCACATGTGTCTGATCTAAAGCTGGACCGGTTTTTGAAAGACCGAAATCTGCAACTTTGGCTACAAAATTCTCATCCAAGAGAATGTTTGTTGTCTTCACATCACGGTGAATAATGCTTTGGGCTGCACCGGTGTGGAGATAATGAAGTCCCCTAGCAGCCCCAATGCATATTTCAAGTCGTTGCTTCCACAATAAAGGAGGTAGATTTGTTCCGTAAAGATGACTTCTAAGCGGTCCATTAGCCATATACTCGTAAACAAGAATCATTTCCGATCTTTCATCACAATACCCAATAAGAGAGACAAGGTGGCGGTGGCGAAGTTTAGACAGCATTTCAATTTCAGTGCGGAATTCAGCAAGACCTTGTTCAGATCTGGGATTACCTCTTTTGACAGCAACTTTAGTCCCATCTTCAAGGGTTCCGGTGTAGACCCTTCCGAAACCACCAACTCCAAGAAGTAGACTCTCATCAAACTTGTTGGTAGCATCAAGGATTTCTTGGAAGGAGAACAACCGCCCCAGATTTGAGGAAGCCAACGAGATGCAGCTTGCTGTTCCACTCTTCTGCGATGTAGTGGAATTTTTTGTCATGGTCAGAGAGTTTCCGTATAAGGGCAAAGGTAACCATGAATGTCCTTGTTGAGTAGCTTTCGACTTCCTTGCAACCAGGCAACAATAACAAAACCCGATTAATGCCACTGCAGCTACAACTCCAACAATACAACCAATTATTATCCCTATTTTGTTTTTCTTGGAGGATGACTTCGGAAGGAGATTCTTAATAGAAGAAAGGCCATCCAGGCTTCCAGCATCATTGCTGATTTTCATGATCTCCAATCCGTTCATAGTTGCATTAGTGATGTCCGCCATAGTATCTGGACCAATACTAACAGTCAAAGTATCGGATTCCACCGAAGAATTGGAGATAAAGTCCCTAAAGTAAGGCACATTTAGGTCACCAGTCAATGTGGATAGATCGAGACTTGCAAGAGCAGTATCGTCATTTATGTATAGGTTGAAAACCAAAGTGTTGAGTGATGAACTTGTGATATCACAAAAATGGACCCGAACCAAATACCTGAAGTTCGGATCAACCTGGAAGACCCAAGTTACATTGAAGGTCATACTGGGAACATTTGCATCACCCATGACTTCGGCGGTGGCATAGACCCAATTCGGTGCCGTTTCCGGTGTAACGGAAGCCGTATATTTGATAGAAGCTGGATTGACTGAAACATTCAGAGCAGAACTGTTTACATGGAGATATTTCACATCATTCTCCCAAATTCTTCCGAGCGTATCATTCTGAGCAGTGATCAATGGCCCTCCCATGTTTAATCGATAAACAGTCTCCATGGCGAATTCCGAAAGGCCACTAACAGGAGCAGATGGATTCAAAGCTAATGCCTGGTCAGGAAAGATTGCATCAGGAATGGAGACAACTTCGATCGCATTAACGAATGAAACCGAATTGTTTAAAGGAATGAAGGTGAGAGTCAATGTGTCTGAAGTCACATTGATTGCATACTCCTTGAACAAAAAAGAACCGTTATAGTTCTTGAAAGTGAAGTTGTTCAAGAGCACAATATCATCAGTGACAACCGTTATAGGAGCAGATGTCAAGTCCTGGCCAGATTTCAAAAGAGGATAAAAGTAGAGCCGGACCCAATGCCGACCTTCTTTCTTGATGTCAAACTTGTAAGAAGCAATTCCAGAGAAGATTCGAGCCGATTGATATATCGCAGAAGGAACACTAGCATTAGAACCAGCAACAAAAGAACTTCCACTCTTCAAGGAAAGAGAAGAATGGCCTGGATCAGGAACATAAGTTCTACCTAGGAATGTGACATCTTTTGAAGAACCACAAACAATCAAGTAGTTATCGGCGGGCGTGAATGCGGCATGTATTCGATAGTCCGGAAACTCGAACAACATAACAGCTAAAACCAACAGAACCAAATACCCTATTGTCATCTTCAACTTTTACTGTTTTACAATAATTCAAATGCCTAATACAATTTCAATTCCCAACTCCCAACTCAACAAATAATAAAAACACTGCTTGAAACCAAGTAAACTAAGATTTAAAGAAAAAAAACCCCAATACCACAAAACTACAAAAGAATTAACCTAAAAAAACCTCCTAAAAATCCCAGTGATTCAATTTCAAGCCTTCAAAGTTCATGTCTTTCCAAGACTCGGATCTAATTAACATTACAACACAATGTAAATACATAAACTTTACTTCAAAGATCAAAACTTCATCAATGCCCTTACCTCACAAATGAAAACAAGCAACTATTCCCTGCAATGAGGTTTTTGAGTTCGAAGTCTTCTTGGGTTTCCTCAACAAAATGTTCCCAGTTAGAAAATGTGAATGTCACCAAGAAAATATTAAGAACCCTTTAAGAAAAACGAAAGTGCAAGCTGCTTCGGCAGTGCATATAACCCAACTTTTCCAGGCTGTTGATGAGGCTGTGATTACAGAGAAAACTCAGAGGACCCACTACTAATTTAGAAGAAAGAAAAATAAGATACGGTACATTTTCAATGTATTTGAAGCGGCCTGGTAATGTATCACTTCCCATAAAAATACAGCTGTTTCTCTCTCTCAAACTCGGTAAATATTTTTTTGTTTTTTGACTAAGCTTTTCATAAACTTCTGATCTTTTAATATCAGAAAGCTTCATAAAAGTCCTGGAAGTGAGGCTACTTTATCCAAATAGAACGGTAAGAAATTAAATATCGAAATTATAGTATTCTCATTTATCTATTAAAATGAAATCTTTTAACGTCACGTATAATAAAATATAGGTAAATTCAGTAAAATAATCTATAAATTAAAATTATATGATGGATGAAAAATTATTTAAAGACTTAATGTATTTGTTATAGTAGATTAAGAACTTATTATTTAAACATGATGAGTTTTATAATATATTATTTTTTATTAGAGTTTATTGTTTAGATTGACGAGCTCCAATAAAAAACTATACTTTATAGAATTCGTCCATAAAATTTATCATATCCGTGTGCTAAATTCCTAATCAATTCTAACAAATATCATAAATCATTAAATAATTTTCAACCAATCATATTTGCATGATTCTCCACTATATTTCTCTAATTTTATCAAAAATATATCCATTAACATATTTGTAAAAAGAACAGCGGACAAGATATAAAAACATGATTCTCCACTATATTTCTCTAATTTTATCAAAAATATATTCAATAAACATATTTGTAAAAAGAACAGCGGATTAGATAATTTATATCTTAGGTGACATATCTAATTAATAAATAACATGTATTATTGGATCACATATTTTATAAATTTAGATATATTTTAATTTAAAGTTTAATTATGTAGGAATAAAATAAAAAATATATTTAAAATGTTAATTATATTAAAAAAATAATTATATACGATGTGTATTGAAATCACATTTTAATACGGAAAAAGGCACAAGTACAAATACATGTGATTCTTTAAACACATTGTTTTTTTTTATTTGATACAGGAGCGGATGCACTTGGCCCTCTAAAGGTTAAGTGTATACTTATTGTGTCACACCTCAATTTATGGGCTAAATTTTAATAATTTTAAGTATCGAATTAAAGTAGTAACAAGGGAGAAATTGAGAACCAAATTGTAAATTTTTAAAAGTTGTAGCTTGTTTTGGAACTTGTGGGAAGTTCAGGGACTTAACCCTGAATTTTACCATTTTTCCTGTAAGTAAAAAATAAAATATTAGAACCATCGTGATCCAAAATTTCCCCCAAATTATTTATCTTAGTCGTCGTAGTCCCCTCCGATTCAGCGTCGTCCGACAACCGTTGGAGTGCGCTGTCTCATTCGACTGACTCGTCGTCGACCAGTGACCAAGGCCCAGTGTAACCCCCTTAGACCCTCAGACCGATGTGGATAGCCCGATCCGATCTGGAGTGTCACAATAGGGCCACCGGAGCGACCCACCGAAAAAAATAGTGGAAAATTTTAAAATTTTTCTTAAAACATGTAAACTCATAAAATCATTTATGAGTACAAAATAAAATTTAGCAGTATTCGAAATAAAACAAATTTTCAGACTCATATATAAAACAAAATACAATTACATGCCCCCTAATCACATGTACCATACTCTGCAAGCAACGCCGGAAGAACTCCTTACTGATGTTGATAATTGTACTGGTACTATCTTTTAACCTGCAATGGTGAGTAATAGAGTGAGCTTCGAAAAACTCAGTAATACAAAACTACTAGATGATGCTACAGGACATACAGATAAATGGGAAGCCATAATTTCCTTATTGAATCAAATGTATACCAATTGCGGAATAATCTGGGGTTCCATTAGTAGTTCATCGAGTAGAAGCCATGAATCTCAGTTCATAAGAAACCTTTCATACAATCACGTTTTCATGAGGTCGAATAGGATGTCTAGTGTGTTCCATCAGTACGATAAAATCATAATAGGTACACTAATCAAATGATAGTTCAGTAAATCCATAAACCATACTGCAGTAGAGATTTTTAAACTCGTATTTTTAGAACCATCGTACAAAGAGTTAACCTAAGGGAACATCTTAGGGCCTAAGAGCCTACCCAAGAAAGTTCGGGGCCATGGGGCCTACCTAAGAACACATCTTAGGGCCGCAGGGCCTACCCGAGAATGATCTCAAGGCCGCAGAGCCTACCTAAGAGTCACATTAGGTCCATAAAAATTTTCCAGCTTGATCAGAGCTGTACTTTACAAATATGTATCTCCAAGATACATTTTATACAATAATACAATTCCATAAGCCATCATCGTTGTGCATCCATAAAATAGTAACCATAGATTTCAGTGTACCACATGTTAAAACAATAAAACAAATTTTTAAAATATAAAGAACACACTAGAGAATCCAAATATTTTTCAGATGCATTTTTAGTTATCAATATGGATAACATGAACTTGTGCAATTTGATCGGATTCCAGGAATAAGATCTTATTGAAGAGAATCGATTTCTAACTGATCTAATCAGACATTTCAAATTGATACTTTAGAATTCCACTAAGTTTTCATGTGCATCAGGAAAACGTTCAGGAATCTTTATTCATAATAATTCTAAATTCAGATTTACTACGAGTGATTTCATTACCCAAACAATCAGGGGTATTCAGGAATATACTTTGAATTCATAGGATTTCAGCCCAATTGAACCAAATGAGGTATTCAGAATCTTTTCCTTCTGCGTTACTTGCATTTTCAAACATGACCGAAGTGATTTTAGATGAAAATATAGAATCAAAGATTCAAGTCATTTACAATCTATGACTATCGATCGTATTATCAAACAACTCGAGTTACACAACTCCCAAACTGATACATGTTAACAAGTCAATTCATTATCCTTCCAGTATGTATTCACTCTTTAATACCATAATGCAAAACCATAGATCATCCCCATAATCATCGCTGAATAGATCTTCCAACAGTCTTTATTTCATTCACACATTTCAAAGATATCAGGAAATACAGATGTACTTGATTCATGATTCATAACCCATAAGGACAATTCATCATGTAAGTTCAACAGTATTTCCAAACTTATCCAATCACCTATTTAATCCTCAGTCATTAAGGTTACTTAGTTCGTTTAGTAAGCAAGTTTATCCCAGTTACTTTAGAGTTTTCCAGAATAATTCAGACGTTTCTGAATTTCAAATACATGTTGTACTTCCTTTCAGTTCAATTTAGTCATATAATAAAGTCATTCTGGTATTTGTGGTTGATTTATCGAACAAACGTCCAATTCTTAGTACTGAATGTGATCTAGAGTTGAGCTGAGCTGAATACTTCCAAAATTTATCATCGAGCCAAACTTGAGAAGACGAACACACATTCCAGTAATATTTATGCCATTCATATATTGACATAGCTTTAGGGTTGATCTACTCACTTAAATTGTGTTCCATTACTTTTAAAGGTAATCCAATACCTATGTTTATTTGGATTTCTTAATTAATCCAAGACATTTACTTAGTATAGGCCATAAGGGTATTTTGGTTATTTTGGTATTCCGTTTTATTCCAATTATTACAGAGCTTAAGGATATCCCATCATTCCTGAGCTTGGTGGTATTCTTGGGTCATTTCCATTATAGGGGTATTTTGGTCATTTTACAGATTCAGTGTATTTAATCCTTTCCTTCCGTCCGATCTTACTATTAAATTCAATCTTATCATTTATTTCAGTCCTTTCGAAAATTCTAACAGCAGAATACCCCCGATAAATTATTCTTCAGGTATTTACTCATTACTCGGATATTTTCGGGTCAAGTGCCTCCTCAGATTTTACAAATAGAATATCATGAATTTTTCTATACAAAGATAGGATCTTAACAATTAAATTCGTACTTAATAGAGTTAAGTACAAATACTCAAAGTACTTTCTCATTCAGGGTCAACTCAAACTATTTTACCTCTCAGGGGCATTTTCTTAATTTCCTAATCAGATAATTTCGATATTAGCTCTTAAGAAAAATAATTATAATTTAAAGATCCTATGGTCAATTGCTTTCCCGAACATTCTCTGATCTTGAAATTATTCCTTAACAAACTTCTAGCATCTTGCATAAACCCTTTTTGGCGTTAAAAACCAGTTATCCAAATTTTCTAAACAAAACTATCATTTCTTATGCACATATGTAATTATATCGGATCAATATATCTTTTCAGAGTTATTAACCAATTTCCAGGGACAATTCTTGTCATCCTACAACATAAGGGTATTTTCGTAATTTTACCCTACCGGAGTATTCTCATAATTTCCCATCCAAGTACCTTTAACATTTAACCTTTGATGATATAAAATATAAGTTACAAGTCCATGGCTGATTTCTTTATCACTAATCACAAACTTGTAATTTAATTCTAACAATTCCTCAATCTCTTATATTAGTCATTCGATCCGTATTCAGTTACAGAGTTTCTACCATA